AATCAATTTAACAAAATTTATAATGATTATTTGAAATTAAATGAACCTTAAACATAAAGTTCGATTCATATCAGAACATACTATAATCAGCTTATTTTCAAATACATTGGTAGAATTAGCAGCTCATGTATATTAAATTCAAGCAACATGTATATGAAATTCTAAATGAAACACAATTAAATTTTGAAATTTATACTTCAATAAATCCAATCATTTCAATAAAATAATCAAAAATAAAATCCATAATTGAATTTCTTCTGTATGCAACTACATAGAATGTGCAAGAATTTAATCCTTAAAGAGTAGTTAATCAAAGACAAAGGCATTAAAAATATTTATTTTCAAGTATTTTTATTCAATTCATTAATTAAATATTTAATTCATTTTTAATACATATATAAAATAATTAATTGGAAATTTTATTGTTATTTAATTGTTAAAAGGTATAAGATTTACTTAGTTTTTCAATTAAAATAATCCTTAAAATTTCACTAGGATTAATACCATTTAAATTTTTACAATAATGTCCTGGTTTTCAAGTAAAATAATAAAATTTTCATTAAATTTTTACTTGATTAAATAAATTTATTTTATTTTCTTAATTTTGTAATTTCCTTTTTTTGAAAACAGTAATGAAAATATTTGGCTTTGAAAAATTCTATCTAGTTTAAAAATTTAAACTAAATTCAACATTAAATGCATCATTATCAGGAACGCCAAAATCTAGATGAAATAAAAATTCCCAATAGGAATTTTTCTTTTATATATGAAAATAATTTTTTATTATTGATTAAATTTTCTTAAGAAGGAAATTAAATTATAAATTCTTCTTCTTCTTCTTCTCCTTCTTCTTGGAATCTCTAAAATGCTTTATAATTGTTTTTACCCTAACAACACCATAAACAAGAGCAATTATATACTCATAGGTAAAGCATTTATTCTTAAATATAATTATAAAGGATTTAATTTAAAAGAAAATAAAAGTTTTACTTAAAGAAAAATTCTAAAAAACAAGGAATTTGTATTAAAAATAAAATTTTTTTTTTTAAGTTTAAAATACAAAAGTTTACTATTCATTAAAGTTGGTTAGAGAAAATTTTCTAGTAATTATGCGGAAAACAAGAAAGTTTTCAAGAATAAATGGATAATATATTTTCATATAGACTCTCTCACGTTTCTGTAGTTATTTTATTTCAAAAGCGACCCTGGAAAATTTTAAATTTCCGTCCACTAACAGAAATTTTCAAACTATATAGTACATACGAAAATAATTATAATTGCTTGATAACTTGAACTACAAATCAACATTTTTTTTTTAATATTTTAAATTAATTATCATAAGCTATTTTCAAAATTGCACTCTAATCAAAAGTTAATCATAAAGTAGCACATTTTCTTGGAAAATTTAAGCTAAAAGCATATACAATGAAGCGAATTCACAAAAACCGATAGAAGAAATAAAAAAAAAACGTTCACATATCTTATGATTTCGACACAAAAAGATTGCAAGTATTTAAATTTGCAAGACTATAAAATTGCTTAAATATAAAGAGTAGAAGAGTTTGGAGAGAATTTCATTCTAGAGAAATCATTTTCGAAATACTCGTACGTACGTTCTATTAGCTTTCAGAATTTTTATAAATAGACTAACATTTTTCAAAATTTTTTTAAAATGTGTTCTTTAAATTACCAGTATTGACTTTAAACTAGTTGAAATTTTGCAATTTTGCGTAAAATTAGCCAGTTAATTTAGAATAACATTGCATAATTAAATTTTTATTCTTTGTTTCCTTCTAACTAAACTACTTAAATTAGTTTTCGACTTAGAAAAAATTATTTATATAAAATTTAAATTTTTGCACAAAAAGTCGGGCACTTAACATAAAATATCATATAGTGTTAAAATTGCTAGTATACCAACTGCTTAACATATTACTGTTCCATCACTACATCAGTTTATGTAATAGAAATATGCACTAAGAATTTATTATTTCGTTCTTTCAAACAATTTATTTGTACCACGTCGATTTCGGTAATTTATATGTGTACATCACTGAAACCTATACCATATAGAAAAAGGGCCAGTTCGAAATTAGTGTTGGTGCACAAAAAAACGCATTTTGAAAAATTCCCTACTTAGCATACATGTGCTCTTCACCATCGATAAGTAAAATCACTTGTTAAAAAAAAAAAAAAATGTTACGCCTAAATGCATGCAATTTTTTTTATTTCACCATTTTGATACGATTTTTTTTATTTTGATATTATTTTAAGTTTCTGAGTTATTTACACATTCTTAAAATAATAAGTTTTATAAAATTTTTTCCTTGAATCCCTTCAGACTCAAATTATTACATCTTGAATTCCAATAATTGAGTCTAGTATTAAATAAACACTTAGTATAATTCTGAAGCAAATATAGCATGTATGTCTTTAACTACCAGTACTGTGTTACCGCATATATCACAAATTATTTAATAATAGTGCCAGAAATAGAAAAAAAACTCAATTTTCCAATTTTTAATGAAAAAAATCAAATGATTTTTTTGAAAATTTTTCAATTAAATTTAATATAATTTCCATCCCTATTTCAAATTCCTTATTTCTCTCCTTAAATGAATCAATAGATTAAATTTAATATCAGAAATATGTGAAAAAAATATTTTAGCATTGAAATTTAATTTTGAATTACTTATACTTATACACATGCACACCATATACTATGTTTGTAGAGCCAAATTATTTTTCCAGAATTTACATAATTATTAAAAAAAAAAATTATGGTCGAATTAACACAATTTCAATTTAAATTTCAATTAATATCATAATTAAATTGCTTCTTTGTTATTATTTTTTATTGTTAATATTTATTTAAATTTTTTTCATTATTATTTTGGGCTCATATATTACAAATGCAATAGCTTTAATAAAAAAAAATAATAATTTACATAAATTTTTTGATTATTAATTAATTAATCTAACGTTTTTACGATAACAACAACAAGAAAAATTGATATTATGTTATTTATTAACAAAATTTTAATATTAAAAATAAACATACAACAAAATTTATTCTACATGGTACAGTTGAGCCTACTACATTACAGCTACCATTTAATCAAAAAAAAAATACCTTTTTTCTAATAATTTTTAGATTTTCAAAAAGATTTTCATTTATAATATTCCATTTAATAGCACAATATTTTAAACACTACTCTAAGAATTTATAATCCTCTAAAGTGTATAACACTCCCAACTTTACATTATAATTTACAAGCATTTATTGGCTTCACATATTTAGACGAAAATTAAGTGTCTTAAATGTATAAATTAATTTTTAATCACAAGTAATAGAATTTTAATACAAAAAAAAAAACCTTTCAATTACAAACTGCCCCTAATTAATCCATTTGTTTGGGAATGGAAAATTTCTATCTGAATCAATGAATATTATTGCACTACCTTGCATTATATTGTTATTATCTTGGCCGTATAAAAGTTACAATATACAAAAGTGTATATTTTGAATAATATGTATATATTATAAACTTTGTAATGTATATATGGTCAACAGCGACATGTAATGTGTTCTAGCTTTTAAAATAAAACTGCACATGACCTTCGTTCAAAAATTCTATTTATTATATTTATATTTATTTATCACATCTAGCTAATTTCATAGCTCATTTCGGACTTCTTCTACAAAATATTATCGTATGATATTTTCTTTTACTATACGTGGTATTCTTTTGCATAATAGTAAATGACATGTTGATATGTAATATGGAAGTCTCACATTTTAAGAAGTCTATAACATTGTAAACCTTAACAACCCTGTGTCTTAAATCCCTGTTATGAGAACCCTGTAGTTCTGTGTCCTAGCTGTGAAATTGGTTCCCATTTATTACCAATTTTTGTGAGCAAATTATATAATTATTCTGGATCCTCCAAACCTCTTTTACCTTTAGAATTCTCTTATTTTCAAAATTATCCTATAAAATATTATTATATATTAATTGAAACTCAAAAACTAAAAATACATAATTTAAAATACCACTGAAATGTCATTTAAAAATTAAAGTCGAATATTTTGATTTAAGAATATTGAATTCGTGCTCCACCTTACTAATATTTCGTTTAATTTCTTGATTTCATGTCTCTTTCCCTTCCATATAAAATTAAAATTAAATTTTTAAAATTGAATTTCTTGCAAAATTAATTCCTATATAAACCTTATCATTACTCTACCAAATTAATTTAATATCAAAGTATATGAACCATTTAACCAACTATAGAAAATTTACTAAATGAAAAATTAATATAAAAAGGAAACTCATATAGCTATATACAATTACATTTAATAAAAAAAAGGGACTATAATTGTGACTTTATCTTAAGTGTTCACGTTTTCCCACTTATACCAAAACTATTTCCTTTATAATTAATATTTAAAAATATTAAAATTATTTAATATTAACACTACTTAATACATATATGAAATTGAGAAGAGAAAAATTAAATTTCCTTTCTCAAATATGTTATTTGTTAAAAACCAAAGCATATTCTCATTTATGATACCAAGAAAATCAAAATATAAAAAGGAAAAAATAACCTCAATTTATGCAAATCGATTATATTTCCATAGATACGGATATTGAAAAAGTAGTTGATTATATATATGAGCCCCGGATATATACACATATATCCTTAAAAAAAATAAGAGAGAAAAGAAAAATGAAAACAAACAGAAAAGAATCTAAAAAAAAAAAACAAATCTCTTATAATAATAGAAATGATGGGCTATAATATCCAGATTGTGTAACCACACAAAAATAAAATACAACGTAAGTATTTTAAGTTACATACACTCTAATTTTAAAAATAACAATCGAGATGAGAGAAAATTAGAGCATTTCAAAAGTTTTATATATGTGCATATGAAAGTTTCTCTGTGTGATAATGAAAAAGGGATCCTTTAATATCATTTTTACATAGGGGTAATGGAAGACGAACTTGTGCAACGACAAGGGCACTATGACCGAAAGTAAGCAGTGCAAAATTAGGGAGCTGCTGGCTTTGAGCAGGGGGATCTCGGTATTGCGATAGGCATCTTGACCGGATGCTGTTCATTGGGAAATATAGCTAGGAGACTGGGCATTTTCTTATCGAATACTTGCCGGGGATGCCAAGATATTGAGAGAGGAAAGAGCGCTTTCTGGGAGGATATCGGTTCTATTGGAATAACTATCAGAGGTTTCTATGACTGATCTGCTGGGCTTTTTCAAGGAAATACAATGGATTTAGCAAGATGGTGTGTACTGTTGAGGAACACCGATGGGCCTTCTGCTGGCCTAGTCCTGGGTGGCAGAGTTAAAGCTGCCGCCTCTCCTCTCCGTGTTATATGGCAGGCACTAAAGTTACTTTTACCAAGGCATCCAAAAACAAAATTTGAAAACCTATGTTATAAGGCAACATTATAGAAATCTTGTATCATATTTTCGAATTTAGTAAGATTTTAATATACATATACATATTTACACATACAATATATTTAATAAATGAATGAAAACATATAACCTGCATTTTATCTTAATTTCAAAAAAATATTGTATGGTATTTATTATTTAGGGAAATTATTTGTGTTATATGTATATGTATAATATATAGAACAGAATATTGTGCGTATATTAAATAAAATGAATTCAAATATTCATATACGCAAATATAACAAATACTAAGAATATAAAAGTCCTTTTCAATTCTCATACATTTACTTTTGTAAAAATTTTTTTTTTCACTTTAATAAATAACGTATAACAGTATAAAATACGATAATATATATGTCTATATGCATAATATATGAATGATATTTAATAATGTTTATTGAATATATTTTGAGACATAAATATAATATGCATATATATCAAAATCAATTGTATATATTAGAGCTCTCTTGTACCATCGAGTAACCCACATACCTACTCTTATTCTCTTCTACACCTTATACAATATTTTTGTTTCAAAGGAAATTCCTTGATCTCATATCTATTTTACAATTTTATTTCGTAGATGCATATACCTTACATATTATGAATTAGATCAAAATTTTTCTGTTCTATTATTTCTGAATATTAGCTTTATATATTATTGTGGTATTTACTATATCTAATACGCATTATTACTTATGTACTTTATGTTACATGTTCAGATATTTGTACATAATGTGCAAAAAATGTATTTGTTGTATGGGTATATAATATATTTATAAATGTATTGGCATGTATAAAAATATTATATTATATGGAAAACGAATTCTGATAAAATTGGCATCCTTTTGATGATATAGGAAAAAGATATCCCGCACGCATATTATATAATATACAAATATATTTCAGAAAATAATATGTACGTTATGTGTACGTATATAAAGAGATATGAAAGTAAACATTTTATAACTATTTTTACAATAATATACAGAGTGGATTGTAACAAAGTACATTGCTATATTCCATTCCATTTCAAAAAATAAAAAAAAAACTAGAAATTGACTTTAATCCCCTGTAAACCAAAACCTGTTGACCTGTAAGCATCGTCTATATACAAAAGTCTACTCATCGTCTATGTCTATTCATGAGGACCTATACAATGGCATAGCGCAGTGCACTTTGTTATGAGACACTCTGCATTTACAGTAAAACACTTTTTATTCGAACATCCCTCATATCTAAAAAATTCTTTTTTTCTTTTATTTAACTTATTTTTAGTGACTAAAAGTTAACTTTATTCTATTCTATAGATACTACATTTATACTTTCCCTATTTCTAAATTAATATCTAATACTTATAGAAAAATTATGTTTCACTGTATTTAGAAAAGCAAGATATTCACAGTTACACAGAAAGAAATAATAACTTTAGCGTTAACACCTTATTAAGGACCTTTTTTGAGAATGTAAATGCTTCCAAGTACCAATCGAAATTATAATTCGAACTACATTTTATGGCATACTTTACAATAACCTGAATTTTTCTAGATTCGATGGCAAATTTAAAAATTTACTCAATGAAAAGGTAAATTAATAATAAATATGTAAAAAAAACTGACAATTTCCGGTTTTACTGAAAAAAAAAAATTAAATTAGTATTTCAAGAGTAAAGTTAGACGAAATGAGAATAATAACCTGGCAGATATCAGTTCCCCATTTTTCATTTTGTTATGCTACTCTTTTCTCGAATTTCTCGTTCAAGTAAATTTCATTTAGAAAACATTTTGTAATAAATTTACTTCGCAATTAAGTAAAAAAAAATTATTCTCTCATTACATATCGTAAAATTATTTACTTTTATTACGAATTTTCCACTACTATTAATAAAGTTGTCAAGCGTTTTACATTTATTGTAGTAATTTTGAACTAAAATTTCTTATAGTGTAGAAAGTAATTTAATTTTTAGAGTGATGTTTTGTTCAGCAAACAAAATATAAATCTCAACTTAGACCAAGATATTGCCAAGAAATTCGGGATTATGCTTGAATTTAACAAATTGTGGTCTTGTAGTAAGTTTCCTCTCTAACGCTTGTAACTCACACAGTCACACCTACCCTAAACCAAATTTTATTTGTTAATAACTCTAATTTTGTGCTGGTTTTACTAGTATATTCAATTTGCCATTTGAATTTGAAAACAATGCTCCTTGTATTTAGACTAAAAATGATTGACGGCAAGTTATGCTATATGCTAAAAATGAAGATATTTAAAACAATTTCTTATGATAAAAATTCTGGAAAAATTTTCATAGTTAACACCAAAAAATCAATTTGTTTTTCAATTGTTCTTAAAGAACTCGGAAAAAATGTCAAAATTATATTAAAATTTGCATATAAATATACATACATATTTACATATTTCTATAGAAATATTACATTTTAAAAGGATATATGATAAACTGAGTACAAAAAAGGATATTATGATGGTTTTTTTTTGATGTGCTATTTTGTTTCCTTTTTTTAGACAAAAGCAAGTGTGTGACTGCAATAATGTTATTATAATTTTATATATTTAAACGTACAGTATATATGTATACGCATGTATGAATAAATTCTTTGAATTTGAATGTACTCCCCCCGCTCTTCCGTAAATGGAAAAGCTACCCCAACAAATAAAACTTAAAATTGTTTTGTATTAAGAAAAAAAATTCTTTGAAACAAAATTGAAAAAGAACAACAATAGCTGGCTGTTAAATGAAAAAGTATCTACTAAAAGCAAGGGAAGAGATTGGAGGGGAGTGGGATAAGTAGGGATACAAAATAATAAATGATCAAGGTAATATTTTTAATTTTATACATAAATAAAGGATATTTAATTTTGATAAAATATTGAATCGAATATAATGTACATACAATATATAAATTGTATGACATAAAATGAAATTAAATTTAAAATTTGTTGTCTTAACCCTCATAAACCTAAAAAATATAACAAAGAAACTTAATATTGATATGAAAATTATATTATGATATATGTTCAAAAAGGGCGGAGACAAAAATGTCTTCGAAGATAAAAATTTTTATATTATATGAAAAGTGGCGGTGATGGTCGAAGTTGGGGTTGTACTCGTATATGAAATTAAAAAAAAAGAAAATTGCTTTACTAATTATAAATTTTAAGATTTATACAAAAAGTTTGGAGTTGATTTAAATTTTCGTAATTGACCTCGTAGTCGAAGATATTAAATATAAGAATCAAAGCCGAAGCCTTAATTGGAACGCATACAAAAGCTGGACACTTTCAACACAATATATCTTAATAATATACTTGAATTTTAAATTTAAATATAAAAAATTAATTTAAATAGCATGTTTAATCAAAAATATTGAAAACTGAAAACAGTTGGCACATATACTACAAATACTAATTTCAAAAATTTTAAATTCATGCATTACGTACGTTATAACAAATTCAAAATGTCACTTAAACATAATCTATATAGTTTCATATTTAATATTTGAAACAAAAATTTATGTATATTCTTACCTATTTGTTTACGTGTATACAAATTTAGATTTATAATATAGATTCAGACTTTTAATATATTATAATGTGTGTATAGGCTAAAAAAAGAGCCGATGTATGTTGGTAAAAATTATAATAATTGAAAATTAAATTTTCTCAATATTTTAATTTTTTTTTATAAACATAGCTTTATAAAACAAATTTACTGTATTATAATTTACGATAATTATTATACAAAGTCTCTAATTGGAGTTGCTATATTAGCATAAATATGTTACAGTATTGTAGTATATTAATCATTTGTTAATCTAACAATTACGGTATAAGAAATTACGATATAAGAAATTACGATATTACGATATTAGAAATCGAAAGAATAAGTAATTAGAAGAATAAAAATTACGGTATGTTACGATATATCATAAAATTTACGGTATACTCGTATAAAAGCTTCAAAGTAATAATATTCATTTGAATAATGTCTTGGCTAACATATTTAATTTAATAAAAATAAATTTACAAGCACAAATAGAGCAAAAAAAATGATATCCCGATCTTGTATGTTATTTTAGAATTTTCACCAATGCTTCAAATTTTTCACCGATTTAACGATTACCGTTAATTAAAGTGTTCAATTTCAATCAGAACGTTTCCATTATTATTGAAATTCTAATTAAATAAAGTTGGGTCAAACCAATAGTCTATATTGTGGCACCTTTCCCTTCAACAAGTGAAAATACTGCTTTTAAATATAGTCTATGTATATCCACCACACTATTAAAATTATTTTCATTCATATTTCTAGGATTGCATATATTTAGGATGAACAATTTATGCAGTCTTTGAAATAAAGCAAAAATTAGTATAAAGTGGGGTTAACATAATGCTCGATTTTAATTGCTAATTGTATGAGTTAAGAAAAATAATTATATTTTTTAATGTCATGGAATTTACCATTAGCTTTTTGCGGTTTCGGAAATACAAGGCGTCAAAAATTCAAATTTTACAAAATTCAAGAGGCGATAACTTGAGA